TGTCGTGCATGTATCTGAATTACACGTGCTTATCTACTTGCTCGCCTGACGATTATGGCTTAAAAGCGGCTTGGAGGTCAAAAATAAACATGTTGTTGCTAGTAGCCCTCTCTCTTCTCAGTCTATTCTTTCCTGTGTTCATTTTTTCACCTCGCGCTACATAAATTTCTTTCTTTCAAAGCAAGGGAAGCCGTTTCATGGCAACCAGATATCGCCGAAAGATATGTAGACACCATGATGACGACAGTAAGATGGTCGATGTCTTCACTGCTCGCTCATTCTCCCTCAGTGCTGGAGGCATGGTCTAGGAGCTCTCTGAACACGTAAAAATACTGTCATGTCTTTTGGAAGCTCTTTGCATTCGAAGTTGAATAACTTTTGCTTAACAAATATCCTTCGCATGTCGCTAAAAAAGTCATGCTTATCAAGCAATGAAATGAACGCCACATCTCGCGCCTGAAATTTGGTGGCACTGCTATTTTAAGGCCATGTAGCGTTTGCATAGCAAGTTCGACATTGCGCACGCGTAATCGCTTGTGGTTTAAAGCACACTACTTACTGCAAAGACTGCAGCCGTATGGGACACTTTTATTGACACAAGTCACTCAGTTTACCGATTACATTGTAGTAATCCAGAACTAGACCTTTGGGTGGTTTAGAAATTTTTCAAGCGATAAGCTACTATGGCAGTCTTGCTTTCTATCGCAATGTGTAAGCACCTTTAACTCCGTCTTCTCATGATAACTCTCAACAATATCCAGAGAGGGCGCCACATACCTGATGATGGGGCGATACGGCTAGAAAGTATGGGACGGCTGCAGGTGCTTCGAGGATAGACGCTCTACGTGGCGGAATAATAAACGTATCGTTAGTTCTCTCGTTTGAAACTGATGTCTCTCAGTCTTTCTCCAACATCTCGACAACTCGACATGAAGACAGCGGTAAACAAGAGGTCGCCTAGCAACCCGTGAGAGCCACGAAACGACCAACATGCTCGACGGAAGGAAAAATGACGCTCAACAAGCAGCTGCAGCAGGCCCGAAACCCGTTCACTTTCGTACTTCCAGATAAGCTGGACTTCCGAGACCCAAATACGGGAACGTTGAATAGCAAGGTGGGACCACTAATGTATTGTGTGAAGACTTCACCTTCGTGTTGGAGATACACAGGTGAACATGTTCTGTACGCAATAGAGATAAAAGCCGAAGACGCACCGGCGTCACTAAGCCTGACAATCACTGACCTTGCGGATCACGCAAGAGTGAAAAGCAGATTCGAAATACACTTTGTACTGTACACAAAACTTCAATTTTGAAAGGCTACATTCAATCGCGAAAGCAGGAAGTGAGGGAATCGGTCGAGTCTTTCTCACAGTCCTACACAAGCGTACTGAAACATGTGAATATGGTTCTCTGACACTCGACCTCAACAGTGACCGGTTGGCTGTAGGACTTTCGGACCTCGGTCGAAGTGAAAACCAGCAACTAGACTCAAAACTCACACTTCAGTCTGCACGGAGCTCGGAAATCATTACAGAGCAACATAACGAGCTACGCCACAAAAGTGAACACGCTGCGGCAGTCGTGGAGCTACCATGATGAAAAGAACGTTCAAACCTAGGAGGCGGCCCGCGAAAACCAGCCACACTACCAGCGGTGCACTTCGCGAGACGAAATTGGTGTCAACAAATACTCGGTCGAAATGGCTTGAAAAGAAGGCAGATGTGTAAATAAGAATACTCTTTATTTCAAAGGGCAGCAATATGGACCAAATATCAGCGCTTTCATTGGGCATCTCTTTGCCTCTCGTCCATGCATGCGCTGTGGCCCCTTCACAGTTTCCCTTTACTCTGCTTCCTCAGGACTCACGAGAATAGGAGGGAGGGATCTCAAGAATAACTTTGTAACTTTGTAGAACTCTATGATGAAGTGATGCGTGCGGCCAGAGCATCTTTTGTGACACGCTTAGAGTGTGGTGCGGTTCGCAGCAGAGTAATAAAAAATAGACTGTACCTCCGAAGACGACCCTTTTGTTTTGTAAGATCCTGTCAACACATTCGATATTAAAAAGTTGTTTCATGCTCGTATGTTATATATTATGATGATTTGTATGCTATAAAAATACACAGCATATATTACACAGAAGTCTCGGCGAGAAATAGTGACTTTGCTCCGCCGCGGTGGTCTAGTGGGTAAGGTACTCGGCTGCTGACCCGCAGGTCGCGGGTTCATATCCCGGCTGCGGCGGCTGCATTTCCGATGGAGGCGGAAATGTTGTAAGCCCGTGTACTCAGATTTGGGTGCACGTTAAAGAACCCCAGGTGGTCAAAATTTCCGGAGCCCTCCACTACGGCGTCTCTCATAATCACATGGTGGTTTTGGGACGTTAAACCCCACAAATCTAATCTAATCTAATCGAGAAATAGTGACATCGCGGTTCAAACACCTTGAGTTGTGTACTCCGCCATGCACCCATATTTCAATAGCTATCCTCACATGCACAATTGAAGGTCAAGCCCACGCACATTTTACATGAGCACTGCCTTTCAGCGAATGGGGGTTATTTAGCTTGGTCTTTGCAAGCTGGCTTGCTCTCAAGGCGCATTGCAGTGAAGACCACTCGTGAGAAAAGTAATGGGTTCTTTTGTACAATGAAGTATGAAGACTTTATGTGTGCACGAGAACTACTTCTCACCTAATACCCTCCTCGGTAATGGTGTCTTCATCGATGTGTCCAGGTAGAACATAACAGTGCGTAGAACTGCAATGTTCACCCTAACAACTTGACGTTTGATAGCAAATTGGCCACGTCAATGTCACCTCAGCGTTTGAGGGCCATCAACCTTCGCTTGATAATATTAATACATATTTTCCTCGGTTTATTTATGAATGTAAATTTACTCCTTGGAGTCACTTAAAATAGGCTGAAACTTCTTTGCTGCACAAGAAACTAAGCATTGATGAAATATATAACTGGAAGACGTTGAGGCCTACCTTTAGAACTCTCGAAGAAGTTTACTCGCTACTGGGTGGGCACTCGGAAAAAGACAAGATGCCTAAACCATTACATGTAGCGTGATCGCGTTTATTGTATTCATTTACCACAAGAAGCGAAACATTTTCTGGGGAGGAGAAGCCACAACAACCAAACTGATACCTGCAAGGGCACTAGTACATTTGCTAGTCATCTCAAATGATCGCTTCAATCCAGGAACGTCCTCAAATAATGAAGGCTCCGACTAAGCAGTCCAAAAGTTTTGTCCTTTGAATCATTAAAATTTCGCTTATTTACGTCTTTGTAGCCAATACTTCAGTACGGAATTAAGGAGAGCTTCAAAATCTGGGCCAGTAGATTTTTTCTGTAATGTCAACAATTTTGCCAAAAGATAATTGAAAGTTCAAAACGCACTTTTCTAATCCTTAAAGTGGTTAGGTGCTAGCTGAGGCATACGAAGTGCACCTCAATTTTTCGCTAGAGTTTCAAGGAGGAGGAAGTGTTTAGCAAAGATTACGATTGATATTTATGTACCTAGACGCACACAATGTCGCATATACTACACAATATAACATGAAATGTTGTTCAATACTATCGATAAAACCGTACTTCATGCTTTTAGACTTTACCACTTACATTCACACAGAAGATACTCTAATCGCTGTGCCACAGTTAATGAAAAGTGTCTCACGCTCTTACGAAAATCGCAGAATATTCACGAGGTGAATGATGGCGAGTGGGTGAAACTCTGGGGACTATTTACACCCATCCTTGCTTACTTTATTCATTCATTTATTTATTTATTTATTTATTTAGGTCTGTATTTATGTCGAAATGCACTCCACGACCAAAATGGAGAGAGCCAAAAGTGAGTGCACTACTTAGCTCTTGAGCTGCCGCAACAAAACATAACAGCGTGCCACGAGCGCAATCGCGATAATCGCTCTCCTCTTCTACCTACGATCGGAGCGCTCGCGGTCAGTAATCCTGGCACGTGCAAGCCTGGACAACGGAAATCGGAGCGGAACACTTGACCTTTAGGTGCTTCACCTCAAAAACAGCATCTGAGTGTCTGCAAGGAAGCAATTTACATCCATTTTTATCTGTTATTTCATTTACAACACATCACAAGCCCTAAATAGTTTCAAAGTTAGTTACCTAGCCGCTTTTTTTATTGAACACTTTTTTTTCTTTCAGTTTATTAGCAAATAAATCATATTTGCATTGCTGCATAAAATATTAGAAATTATGACAGAGAAAGTCACAAACCGATAGTAGGGTGTCGGACAAAAAATTTTCCATCAATAGCAAATACTGTCGCCTCTTCAAGGTTGCTTCATTCGTCCTATAAAGTGGTGAATTTTGTGACCAAAACGAAATTGAAACAATGGGTTCTGATAGTTCTTTCTTAGCAACTGTTAACTTGTTTTGCAGTAGTCGATAGAGCCATGAAGATCAATTTAAATGACGTTGGTGTATTATTTTCTTGAATTGCGCACTTTGTTTTATTGATGGACATTTTCGCAATTTATACACTTTCGCATTACAATATTTTATACGACTGGCATCCAAAACGCATTTAAACTGTTTGGCATAAATATTATACACCGGAATACTATTTAAAGTATTTTCTGTGCCCAATTTCAGCTTTTCAGGGTGACGTTGTTAAACACTTTATTACTTAGCTGCTTTTAGCAAAAACTGCTTATTCCAGAGTTCTGTAGTGTTACAAGCGTCGGCATAGAGTTATCGCATCTGAAAACGATGATCACAAAGCTCTGATCCCGCTCTTTTGGTGTCTACAATAGCCTAGCTAATGTACACAACGCAGGTGCAATTCATTGTTGTAAGAGCGCATTTTACTTACGAAGAGAACTCCAATTTCGGCCTGCGTCGCCGAAAGGGAGCGCTTGCTTTTGTGTAAAAGCCGCATGGCATTATACATTATGAGATCACTTAAACGTATCCTGCGTTCATTGCATTGTTTGACCAGTTTCAAGGAAAACATTACATAAAGTCGGGGTAAGAAAACCTGATATCCAGAATTTCACTTTAGAAAACGCAATTAGGAGTTGCTTTGCTCTGCCCTAATGAATGTGATAATCGTCTTATTTGCTGCATGCTTTGCTTCAAACGTTTTCGGTGAGTCAAACGTCAGTGTGCTTTATTGTAGTATGGCATGTTGATTATATAGTATACATGTAAGCAGTGCGCCCTTATTTAATTTATTTAGTAAAAACTTCTATAACCTTTAGGAATGGCTGTTGAAAAGACACGAAGTTCAAATATATTGTCACGCGCTAGGAGCTCGCAGAAACATACAAGGAGACGCAACTGTCAAAATCTGAGACACGAAGAAAGACAGAAGGACGTCTCCACTGACACGGGTTGCTAGTCTTCGTCTTCTTTGTTCACTGGCACAGAACTGGCTCACTGTCCACTCACATAGAACACCAAGTCGAATTACTCTTCCACCCAAGAGAGCATCGACCTGATGCTCAAACAAAAGTGTGCACAGCAGTGGGTCGAAGTAGGCAACATAAAGAAACATTAAACAAATTAGTGCACGAGATAAAATGCGTCTTTGGCCCGGCAATCAGAATTAAACGGCATTCACTGTTCACATGAAGAGTTCACTGGCACAAGAAAAAAATTCGCATCACCGCGTAAAGTATGGTTTTAAGCGGACTACGTGTACACAGTCTCTGGGCGTGGTAACCTGTGCTGGGATGATGGTGAGCCTCTGGCTGGAACCACTTCGTAGTTCACGCCGCTCACACGTCTGAGTACTTTGTAAAGTCCAAGGTACTTCCTCAAGTGTTTCTCACTGGGACCTCGCCGCCTAATGGGTGTCCAAACCCAAACTTGGTCACCAGGTTCATAACTAACTTCTCGATGGTGGATGTTGTACCGCCGTGCATCTGCGTACTGTGGAGTTCGGATGTGCACACGGGCCAGTTGACGTGCTTCTTCAGCGTGCTGAATATACTCATTGATGTCGGGGGCTAATTGGTCAAGCTTGTCGTTGTCGTCATACGGAATCGTGGCGTCAAGCATAGTTCTGACATCTCGACCATAAACGAGCCGAAATGGCGTGAAGCGTCTAGTTTCCTGCGTTCCAGGGTTGTACGCACGTGTTACGTACGACAGGATGTCGTCCCACGTTTTGTGCTGCACATCCACGTACATAGAGATCATGTCGGCTAGCGTTCAGTTTAGCCTTTCTGTTAAACCATTATTCTAAGAGTGATACGCAGTGCTCTTTCGTTTGATTGTATAATTCAACCTGAAGATATCATCCAAGAGCTTCGCTGTGAATGATGTCCCTCGATCAGTGATGACAATTGATGGGGCGGCATGCCGTAGCACAATTTGATGCATTAAAAAAACTGGTAACTTCATGTGCGGTCCCTCGTGGCAATGACTTCGTCTCAGCGTAACGCGTCAAGTATTCGGTTGCGACAATAATCCATTTGTTGCTGGAAGAAGACAAAGGAAACGGGCCTAGTAGGTCCACTCCCACTTGATCATACGGTGTAGGGGGTGGATCGATCGGGTGTAGATGGCCTGCAGGCTTTAAAGATGGTGTCATGCGACGCTGGCATTCACGGCACCCCTTTGCGTAGCGTTTCGCACAGGCAGACATTTTAGGCCAGTAGGAGTGTTGTCGCACCTGATCTATAGTTCTCGAGTAGTCCAGATGACCGGATGTGAGCTCGTCATGGCAAGCTAATGAGACGTCATCGCGGAAGGTTTCAGGCATGACGAGAAGATGAGATTTGTCACCAGCACCAGTGTTCTTTTTTTATAACACGCCATTTAGTAGGCAAAATGATGGCAACGTTCGCGACATAGGCCGAGGAATGGGGGCGTGGTGCCACCTTCTAAGTGATCTATAATCATTCTTAGATCAGCGTCATTTCGTTGATGAGACATCATATCCGGCCCACTCAGAGTTGCCACGAAGGCGCCATTCTATTCTTCGCTTCTACTGGCGGATTGAAGAGGTGCTCGTTATAGCGTGTCGGCATCTTCGTGCTCTTCACCTGACTTGTACGTGATGGTCACATCAAATTCCTGTAGGCGCAGAGTCCTTCGTGCTATTCGTCCTGAAGGGTCTCGTAGATTGTTCAACCAGCACAAAGCATTATGATCAGTAACCACTTTAAATGGTCTTCCAGAGAGAAATGGCCTAAACTTTGTAATTGCCCAAATGAGAGCAAGACATTCTTTCTTTGATGTAGAATAGTTAAATTCTGCACGAGACAGTGTGCGACTTGCGTAGGCTATTACCCGTTCAATGCCGTCTTGTCGTTGTACCAAAATAGCTCCAAGACCAATATTTCTGGCATCAGTGCGTACTTCTGTGTTAGCATCTTCATCAAAGTGGTCTAGCACAGGAGGGGAAGAAAGCCGGTGCTGTAGTTCCGCAAAGGCAGTCTGCTGTTCGTCAACCCAGACAACTGGTGTGTCATCACGCGTGACGCGTAATAGCGGCTCCGCAATGCTGGAGAAATTTTCAATAAAGTGCCGGTAACACGCGCACAGATCCAGAATCTTTGAAGACTCTTCTTGTCAGTTGGAGTTGGAAAAGCGGCGATGGCAGCAGTTTTGTCAGTATCAGGCCGAACACCAACGACGCTCACGACGTGACCAAGAAACTTTAATTCTTCATAGCCGCAATGACATTTCTAAGACTTGAGTGTGAGATTGGCCAATATAATGGTTTTGAGCACATTCCAAAGGCGACGAAGATGCTCATCAAACGTTTCTGAAAACACAACGACATCATCGAGGTAAACGAGACAGCTTTTGGACTTGAGGTCTGCCAGAATGGTGTCCATCACACGCTGGAATGTGGCTGGAGCGGAACAAAGGCTGAAAGAGAGCACTTTGAATTCATAAAGGCCATCCGGCGTTACAAAAGCGTTTCTGTCCCGGTCACTTTCATCGACCTCTATTTGCAAATAACCACTCTTCAAGTCGACGGACGAAAAATACTTCGCGCGCCGCAGCCTGTCCAGAATATGATCCACTCTAAGCAACGGGAAAACGTCTTTCTTTGTGACATTGTTCAACTTCCTGTAGTCAACACCAAAGTGAAGCGTACCATCTTTCTTTTTCACAAGAACGACTGCTGATGACCAAGGGCTGCTTGAAGGCTCTATCTCGCCATCCTGAAGAATTTCCTTAACATGCGTTTGAATTGCATGCCGTTCGGTTGGCGAAACACGACAAGGCTGCTGCCGTATGAGATGCGCGTCGTTGTAGGTGATAATGCGGTGTTTCGTAATCGGTGTTTGACGTATCTTCTAAGAACTTGCAAAGCATGTGTGGAATTCCAGTAACAGCTCGCTCAAACGCCGCTTGTTCGCTTCAGAAAGCGTTAGATGGATGTCTACGCTGCGGAAAGGCGCTTTAGCAGTGCCGATGACTTTGGAAGCAAAAGACTCGGTGACACTGGTGACTGGGTTTGCGTAGGCGATGACAGTTCCAGGAAAAAGGTGCCGGTGATCATAGCTGAAGTTTGTGATAAAAACGTCGCAGTGATCATCAAGAAGGTCAACGAGGCCTCTTGCTACGCAGACACCCTGAGACAGCAGAAGCGACTGATTGCTTTTTACGACTGCTTCACCGTGCATCACTCCGTCCTACGCCACCTGAACCACAACAGTTACACGGGGTAGTAACGTGACAGCATTGTCGATAACACGAAGAGACACTCGGGAGTGGCTGGGGTCCGCGTAAGCTGTTGTGGCGTTTGTGGTCGCAAAAGGGACTAGACGTTGTCGAATGTCAATTATAGGATCATGGTCCCTGAGAAAATCTCTGCCAATTATCAGGTCTCGAGAACACTACCGGAGAATGCTCGAACTGAAACAATTGTACAACATTGGACTTGCAATCTTGCCGTGCACATACCGAGTGGCGTGACGATATGCACGCCAGCTCTACGAATTGGCGTTCGGTTCCAAGGCGTCGTTACTTTCTTGAGAAGGGCGGCCAGTTTTTCGCTAATTATGAAATATCCCACAACAGTGTCCACTAAAGCGCTGACTTCGTGACCATCTAGCAGAAAAGGAATATCTAAGGAAACTCTTCCACAATTAGCCGGTGATGTCGTTGTCGATGTATCGTCAGTATCTTCAGTCGCGTCAATAGGGGGGCTTGAGCATGACCAGGCTGGGCAGCCTTGCCCTCAAAGGTCTCCGTGGCTAGTTTTCCCGACGTGGGCTAGGTGACCAGCCCTGCACCATGCCCGAATAGGTGCGATAATTGGGTGAGAACCACCGCGGTGGTGGAGAACGTGAGTGGTGCCGAGATGTCGATCCGCGCTGCTGGGCAACGTAGTCCGCGATTTCCGGAGGCCGCTGGCCGAACCTAGGAGGTGGCGAGTTCACCAAAAACCAAGAAGTCCCAGCTCTCGATAAGTGCACTGTCGGTAGATGTGCCCAGGTTCACCACAGTAATAGCAAAGAGGACGTCGATCAGGGGCCCACCACACGCCTAATTTTCGCGGAATCAGTCGGTGGTCGCGGAAGTACGGGCCTGCTTAGACTGCCTGAAGCATGGCTGGTGCCATGGTATGAGGCGAAGTGAAACGCAGTGTAGGTTGGCGCAGACTTTGGTCTGCCGGAAGCATAGCAGGAGCCGTGATGGGAGGTGGAGCCAAAGGTGGTGCTGGCTGGAGCAGAGTATGCGCATACGACATGCGAGGGAAGTCATTTAGGGGCCGCGGCTCTGTCTGACGGTATAGTTCTCGTAGTGCGTGCTGAACTTCATCTCGGACAATGCCGGACAAGGAACTGACAGTGGGGTCCGACTGCATCGATAACTTCTGGAGTTCTTCGTGGATAACAGAGCGTATGAGCTCACAAAAGAAGTTGACGTGGCCCCAAGACAACCCATGTAGTCCGTAGCAGAGGCAAAGTTTACTTGTGGCTCGTGCGTCTGTGTCCGTTCCGCACCCACAGACGGACAAAAGCACAGACTCACGGATGGAAGGGTGGGCTGTCTGGTGATGGACGCGTGGACGGACAGACAAACAGGCAGACGCAGGGGCGTACGGACGGATGGATGGAAAGACAGACAGTCTGACGAACGCATGGACAGGCGGATGGATGCACGGACTGACTGACGGATGGACAGACAAAAACCGGCCACACGCTGGCCAAACACTGTCCTGATAGGACTCCGGCAAGAAATGATCGAAACACATCCGTGCCGTTTTGCTCGGTAACCAGTTGTCCCACCTAATCGCACTGATCCCCTTCTCACAGAGGGCACTGTCACGTGGAAAGTCGTGATATCAAACACTCTGCACCATAGGTGAGTGGTTTGTGCAGCCCACAAAGCAACACAAACTACCACTTATCTTACACTCATTCACAGAAAACAGAAAATCGTGCGCCAAACCACGAAGTGCCGGTCAAACCCTACGGAGGGAGGAAAAGCAGCGCCTAACGCTGCTGCCGTGGAACATGTTTAGGCCGCCGTCGCTTTGTGGCCAGCATAGTAAACGCTGCAGCAGCCAAAGTTAGCGATGCCACCAGCTGCGTCACTTCCATTGACATTCTAGACGTCACGGCACACAGACAGTGTTGCCAATAATTCTGACAAGCGAGGTGAACCATTTCGAGGCAATCTTGGAAGTTCATTTGCAAACTATCAAAGCATGTTTCAGGCCTGTAATTTGGCATAAATGATAATAATGTACACAATAATGTACCCAGCCAGTTTCACTGAGATCCATTGACCTCGAAAAATTGCCGGAGTTGGCCTTAAGCGAGTGCACGTGACGACATTAGCCACTTCTCTTTTTCTTCTTCAGACACACGGCTTACTTTCCCTGTAGGATACCTACATGATCGGCTCCTTATGTATGCTGCCTATTTCACTGTGATTGGGAATGAATGCGTGGGCACGGACTGGCCTGCCTCCGCAGTCACCGCAGCTTTGAGAAATAATTGTATCTATCATGCTGCATGCTGCTTTGGTTGGTTGATATGTTATCAGGAGCCTCTACTACCAATCAGTAGTGCTTTCTGGCCTTCTTTGAAAACGTTGCAGAGACACTTTCAGACATTTAGGTTGATAGATAATCGGCTAGTCAACCAAAAGTATTTGAGTGCGTCTGCTAAGTTATCAGTCGGTGTTGGTGCGCACATTTTGCGTCGCCGCACTACCTTAGGGTTCGTGAGAAATTTACCGCAGTCGTATAACCTATAAATTTCTGTTTAGCATTTGGCAAATTATGATGTGGTCTTGCTAGAGCTCGCAAAATGCGCCAGCCAGCGCTGTCATAATCTCAGAATCTGGTGCAATTAGTCCCAGAACCTGCGTATATTCTTCTCATCTCGTATTGATCACCCTAACAATCTAGCCATTCTTGCTTGCCTCACCGACCCCTCTTTTTAATCTTTTGGACTGAATACAAGCAGAGGTTGGAACTCGTTTTCCTCTTCCATTGCTGCCACAAAGAACCAAGTGCTGTTCGAGTCCGCCGCTTCGGAACACTTCATGGAGCAACTGCACACTGCTGTTTTCTGTAGTCATATTATGTTTTTTTTTCAAGATGCTGTAGTTTGTTGTATATATTTATCTGTTGCCATTATTATTTTACCTTGTTCATATTGCACCAGCCCCCCTCCCTCAGTTGCACAGTCTGAGACTTTAGGGTATAGAGCTGAATAAACAAATAAATGAAATTTACTGGCGTGATACCCTCCTAGAATAAAACTTTTGAAAGTGGTGGTGGCACAATTTAATTTAGGTCATGAAATTAATGCGCTTCCTTACGCATCGCTAGATGTGAAGAGCGTGGCCTAGGCAAATTTCTACTGATTCCTTCTGTTATACTGAATGCCGCAGTGACCGGAATTCGCCAGAATTTTCATTCCGCCAGCTTGTGTTGACCTGTTACCTTTTTCTATTTTATAGACTACATTCTTACTTTATATGTTGCGTACTATTTGCATATAGACCTTAGTATTGGTTCACCACTAAGCTTTACAAAGTGACCTTTTTTATATGTTTCTTACAGCTGGATGCACGCGGAAGATGTGCCCTTTTGGTAGCGGCTACGGCTGCATACCCTTCACTCAATGCCCTGTGCACTGTATGACGTGCTATAGCGGCTGCAAGTTACCGTCTGTATGCTGCAACCTCCGTATGACACATTCATTGTCATTATTTGTAATATAGAAAGCACAAGGGCACATTTGAAGTTAATGACAGAAAGTGCCCAAAGAGAAAGTGTTTACAAAAAAAGAAAGACTGAGGATACTCTGTTAGTTAAAGTGCACATGCACTTCAAATGTACGAACCAACTTGGTTTACCCCTTCATCTCACCCGAATTGCAGGGATGTTTAGCTCTGTTGTTACTCGATGACAAGACGCGTAAGCGTATATTGTGCCGATAGCGGAAGATCCTTGGGGACCACGTCTCATCAATAGGATATTTGAGTCGAAAAAATTGCCGGGCCAGCGTGGACTGCTCAACACAGTCGTAGCGAAAGCTGGAAGAGTGGCCTTTCAGAGCCCTTTGTAAACACTCTTTCGGTAGCTGCTACAAGCATACTTGGAGGGTACCTACTACAAAATAAATCTTAATTTTTCGGTAGCGTGGGGGCATCCACTAGGCCGCTCTTCATGATTCTTCTGTGAAGCGTGGTACCCGCAGTACACTTGCAAGGAGTATGTGCAAGTTTTCTATGCTGTGAATGACGACGATGAATAATTATGCCTGAAACTTTTGCAATGGGCTGGTACATTCAAGGACCCACTCGTTATACAGTTCGCCTTGTGTGACGGCTGGTAGTTTCTTCACTGTTTTAAAATGGTTTATTATTTTATCAACACGATTTCATTTCCGACATCAAGCCTGCCTAAGGCACCGAGTTTTAAGCAGCGGCGTGGTTCTGTGATAGAATACTGGGTCGCCATGTAAGGAACCCGGGTTCAAATGTTTTTGTGTCTATGGTGTTTCTGTTCACTTTTTTCTTTCTTTTCTTTTTTCTTCTGTGCCTTAGTGGTTACGCGGACACCGGTGGCGGCGGACAACTACAGGGCACGCGACCGTCATTGTTATAACAAACTTTTCGGCAAAACTGCCGGATAAGCAATGTAACGAATATTCATAACGTCAACAGAGCACAATTGAAATAGTGCTGCAAAATAGTGTAAAAAGAGGCAAATTGCACGCTTTCATGTGATATGCCACGAATTATTGGTCAGCTGCCAGATTGTAATATTTTCACGTTCTACGGATTGGCAGCAGGCAAATAAAGGTGTTCCACAGCAGCCACTTGACCACAAGTGGCAGTGGCAACAGTGCCACATGACAAGCGGCATTCACTGACGCTGCTACGTTTAAAGAGCGGATATATCACCTGTAAAGTACATGTGACCGCCAGTGTAGATGAGTTGTGGGGCATCGGACGTTCGTCTCGTGTTTGGTCTCTGCTACTGGCAAGTTAACTTTTCATCCACTTCTTTTTAGATGCGGAGGTTTTCTTAGTCGCGCGATGTCGCACTTCGGAGTCGGTGGTGGTGCCGTCCACACCATCACTGCGCGTGCTCTTGTCTCGCGCCTCGTGCCGCATGTTCGCGTCTATAGCCGGCCTAGGAAGACACCCACGAAAGTGTCGCCTCTCTCCCCCACTTTCGCCTCGCCAGGCCGACGCAGGCAGGTTCTGCTAGTCTGCTCGCGCTGCACAACTGTTCACTGGTGACCCCGCGCATGCAGGCACTGCATCGCGCATTCGTAATTTAGTCAAGGGTGCCTTTACTTAGCTTTCGCTTGACGGTGAAGGAAACGCTCTTCTTTCATTTTTTAAATAGGAATAAATAACAAATAAGCGTTTTCAAACCATACCTAACTACGCAACATTCACGCGATACCCCCACAACTCTGCGCCGAACTTAATCAACTCCCCCCCCCCCCCTGGAGAGATGTGGGCGGCAATTTTTTTCTATGTACAGTACAATTACTTCTCATAACACCTCTATACTTTACTAAGTAGAATAGTCTGCTAGTTTTCTAAAAGGGTGTGTTTTTAAAGAAAACGGCGCTTTAAACATGCAATTCTAATGATGTTTGTGGCTTTTAACCTGCAATGTTTCAGTTCCCCACAACAACCTACAAACACTGAATTCACAATATCATTGTCATTTCTCATACCTCATACGGCAAGTAGAATGATAACTCTGTAAACATAAAATTGGAGAGTCACGATTCTACTTGTCAGTCAGAAACACGTTTGAATTTTATAACCTTTGGTGTGTTGGAAAGACTGCTTCTTCCTTTAAATGAACAGCCTTATTAAATAATCCCTTCTTTGGTTAACAAACAGAGAAGAATATTAGATTACTTATTTTTGCTTGAGTATGTGCTTTCGTATGTAATTAGTAGTGTCCCATGCACAATCCATTCAAGTCAAATCAAATGTAATCAATCACAATGTACATGATAAGGACATACAGAAGGAGGTCCCATATCATACATTAAAAGGAGACCTCTTATATAATATAAACGTATGTATGTATTCGTCAACAACAGTAGAGAAAATAGATTGAAAAGTTTTGAATGATCACACAGAGATGCAATGGAATTACGATGCTAACATCAACTATATATCATCAAAAATGTCAAATGTACAAAAATATATGCGTATCTATGATTATAGCGTATATAAGTGTCTGTTTTAGACAAATACTATGGCATGACGAGGAAGAAACCAGTTAGGCAGAAGTATTATTGTCACATAACAAGAATTCCTCAATTCATGACAAATGTTTTTAATTTTTATTAGAAATAGTAATGTTTCATAAATATCTAGTTCTAAAATGAGCTGTCTGAATTATTTCACACTTTGGGCAGACTGAAGTTATGCTCCGCGAGGCAAATCGCATTAGTATTTAAGGTTAACAAAGGAATTAATAGATAATAAAATTCATTTATTGTTTAGTTTCAAAAGAAGAGGGGCGAGAATGAATTTTAAAATGGCGGCAACATAGAAACTTTTATTTTTTTCAGCAACGGTTCAGCATTGTGGGTGGGTGGAAAAGTGCGAATAATTGAATTGTCTGGTTCTGAATGACCTGTAGTTTTTTTTAGGAAGAGTGGTGTACATAATACTCAAGGACGTTTTGCTGCCATAGATGTGCAAATATACAAAGGCGATATAAAGTGACAGCATTACTGTTTGTGGAAAAAAAATAGACGAGCGCTGATGAGGATCTGTATTCCATAACTTCTTTTTAAGATGTGCTACATGGTTCTTTAGGATGTATACATGGCTATTTTCGCCAAGGTAAACACATTATTCACTTACCTATAATGCGTGGTTGTCAATGAAAATGGGTGGAATGCTTTGTGGTAATCTATTTTGTGATGAGAACAAGAAATCGTTTTACCGCAATGAAAGGTACGTTTAATAAATATACACCATCCTAAAAATTTGTAAAGCTCACTATAATGATAAGTATAATAAATATACACCATCCTTACAATATTATTCAGGGTTACTACAGCTGATAGATGCTTATTGGAATTAGTAATTACGATGCCTTCAACATATATTATACACATAGAGAAGGCAAGACTATCAGCCAGGCCATAAATATTAATTAAAAATTGCAAGGGGCCCGACATCATAGCAAATGGTACACCTAGAGCAGTAAATAAACCGATATATAGATAGATAGACTGATAGATAGATATGTCGGGATTAACATCCCAAAACCACCATATGATTAAGAGAGACGCCGTAGGGGTGGCCTCCGGAAATTTCAATGACCTGGTGTTCTTCAACGTGCATCCAAATCTGAGCACACAGGCCTAAAGAATTTTCGCCTCCATCAAAATGCAGCCGCCGAAGCCGGGATTTGATCCCGCGACATGCGGGTCAGGAGCCGAGTACCTTAGCCACTAGACTACTGCAGCGGGTGAACACCTAGAGTAGTAATTTTAGGTTTAGAATAAGCATTTCATATACTAATAACTAGGCACCTGTCTCGTAAAAAGAAGCGTAGTAGCAGTGAAGCGGGACCAGTTGTGCCAATTGAGTCTAGTTTATTATTATGAATGTCAATCGATGGTGTTAACTGCCAGTGTAAAGTCTACTAATGTAGAATTTGTGAATTCAAAGCCGTAGAACGCTTTTTCTAGTTGGCCACAGTAAAAGACATAAGCGTTAGTTCAGTAGAACAACCTGATATAAATACAAATTGATCAGTCGAAAGTATTTTAAACTTGTTTGAATATTTTATCAATTGTTTCACTATTTTTTTTTTCAGTGACCTTGCTGAGAAAGGGTATAACACAGATCGGTCTATATTTATTACTATTGAGTGATCTCCTTTCTTAAAAACTGGAGCTATTCTGCCACGTTTGAGTTTTTGCAAAGATTCCATTTTGTACGTGAGGTTCATAATGTGATATATGTCTAATATAATGGTTTAAAAACTAATTTCATATGTCTAGGTTGAATTTTATCAAGCACAGCGCTAGTTATTCTTAAATTGTGATTCGCTGATGCTAACTTATTAGGAAAGCTTCGAAACATAGAATACTCATCAAAGGCCTTTGTAGGCGTGTGGGGTTCGCTGTGTTTGCGAATGGGCACTAGGAAATAAAAAAAAAAACACCAATATCATCTGCAATAGCAAGTGGCGTAACACAAGTATTATCATCATGGGATATTTTTATATTCCTGTTTCTGATTTGAAATAAATGATTTCAGAATCTCCCATACTTTATTTATCAGCACCTCGTTTCAGTATGTTTTCTTTATAATGTTTCGCCTCAGATTTGTTAAGGAAGATAGCGGTATGAAAATTTTCCTACACCACGCATGAAAGTGTGAAGTGAATGGTTGCCTTTTTGCAGCAAAACAGATAATAGCAGGGAGAGTTGATGTGTATCTATAATAAAAACTGTTCAGCTCGCACAAAAAACAGAACAATAATAATACAGAAAAGCTCTAACTCCAAACAAATTTATTTTTAAAAGAACAAAAAAGTAAGCTCTTACCATTGTCGCCAAGATTTATTTTTCAGCCATAAATTATTTAAAAAGTACAAAAAAGTAGAAAGAAGATACGAAAGCCAATTTAATATTTACGGAGGCTACCCGCATTGATATGAATAGAAATGCGATTACTATT